GGGAGGGCCGCCAGCCCCACCCCCCGCCCCTTCGCCCCAAGCCCCCACCCCCTCTGGGGCTGCGGAGCCAGCCCCTCCCCCGCCTTGCCCAGAAGCCTGGTAATTCTGCCATCCGCCTCAGAATTGGGCCTCGTGGGCTAAATTCTCCGCTGAGCCTGGCTAGCCAGTAGGGCTGCCAGACGTCCGGTATTTTCACCTCCTGTGCAGTAAAAAGATTCAGTAAACACTGGACACCTAACATCTCGGGGTCTTTCTATTTTTTTTCCCTGAGCCCCTCCCCCGCCTTGCCCAGAAGCCTGGTAATTCTGCCATCCGCCTCAGAATTGGGCCTCGTGGGCTAAATTCTCCGCTGAGCCTGGCTAGCCAGTAGGGCTGCCAGACGTCCGGTATTTTCACCTCCTGTGCAGTAAAAAGATTCAGTAAACACTGGACACCTAACATCTCGGGGTCTTTCTATTTTTTTTCCCTGCCAGGAGGCGAAAATACCAGACGTCTAGCAACCCTACGACACACTCAGCAACCGGGCTCAGCCCCGGCCTCCGAGGCCCCCGCAAGGCCTCCCCTGCTTGCCTGGTTCTGCAGGGGCTTGTCTTGTGGCTGGCAGAAAAACAAAATGGCCACCAGCAAAAAAAAGTCTCTTAAAGGGGCCATGCTGATTTTTTTTTTTTTTTTTTTTTTTTCTTTATAATTAATTGCTGTTTGGGTGCTTTTTTTTGACTCAACCACTTTGGTGTCCCCCTTTTTTGGGGTTTTTTTTTGGAGGGGGCATGTTCGGTATTTTTGGTTAATCCATCTGGCAACCCTAAAGGTGGGTGCCTGGTGTATGGGAGGCTTGGGTCTGGGGCCATGCTGGATGGGGAGCCCCTTTCATCTGCCTAATGATTCTGTCTCTTTTCTGTATGGTTTTGTGTGTCCTCGTATGAATCGGGGGGAGCTTCACCCCCTCCCCTCCCCTGCTGTCCCTAAAGGGCACCTGGGGGTGGGAGACATGAGGTTGGAGGAGTCCCAGATGGGTGGGGTGCATCCCCGACAGCCCTTTTTACCTGCCTAGTGATTTCTGTCGCTTTTTTCTGCATAGTTTGATGAGAAGCAATCCCATTCCAGGCACATGGTAGGAGGGATAGCTTCCCTCCAAGCATCAACCCGTTTTATAATGTCAAGTACGATCACCTACAGACCTAGTGTGCAGGCCAGGAATACTACATCCAAATTCACACTTATTTTCATTGCTACATTTTAAAATAATTGGTGAGAAACTTTAAACAAGGTATTGTCTTTCTCCATCCTATATTCTTATTTTGCCATGAATCCATAATGCCGAATTTATGATATCACGATCATTTCGATAGCAAGAGACTGGGATGTCACAATCCTGGGATTATGACTTCGCTGCAGGATAAAGGAGAAAGTGGACTGAGAGCAAATAAGCCTCTTATCCAGGCACAAATATCTGAAATAATAGAAAAGGGAATATAGAAAATAACTGTTCATGTAAATTGCTTTTTGCAGAAGTGTTCTCTCTTTGTAAATTTTGCCCCAGGGTGAAAATGTACAAAGGACTAGAAAATATACTTCCAATATAGGAAATAATCCTCCACTGGCAGAGAGATGGACTAGATGACCTTTCATTACACATTTCTGGCTCTAACTTTAAAAAAAATACCCTCTCTGAGCTGGGTTTGTTTGCTGCCTCTAAGATTTCGCTGTTATAAAAAGTTAATTATTTCACGGTATTTAGTTTTCTAAAAATCATACAGATCATAAAGCATGAAATTGCAACTTTACAAGCTGCCCTGAGTAAGGGGAGCATGTAGCTTTATCGGCCATGCTGATTTTTTTTTTTTTTTTTTTTTGCTTAATAACTGCTGTCGGAGTGCTTTTTTTTTCTTAACAACTTCAGTCTCCCCCCTTTTTTTTTCCTCAACAGAATTTTTTTACTGGTATTTTGGGTTTTTTTTGGTGGGGTGGGGGGGAAGGGGCAGTGTTTGGTATTTTTGGTTAAACCATCTGGCAACCCTACTAGCCAGCGGCTCCAGCCCTGGGAGCGTTTCAGGAAAGGCCCTGCCTTTGGGGCCGAGCAAGTGGAACCCTCCCCTTGGCACAGGGCAGCGGGCTGTGCCCGTTTTCCTTCTTCCAGCCACAGGCTCCTTTCGTCCCCCCATCCCCAGCGATGGCAAAGGGTGGGGGTGATGCCCCAGCCTCCCCAAGCCACATGCCATGGGAACGAGCACCCCCTTGGAGCCCAGCGGCGTTGTGCACCATGCTACAGGCACCGTCCGCACCGAGCAGACGTGTCGGGGGCACCTCTATGCAAAACAGTGGCTGCGCCCCGGAGGCCTGGTGGGTGCGAGGCGCAGCCTCTGTCCCAGTGTGAATTCCCCCCGCCAGGGCCAGCCTTATGTCCCGTACTCCCACCTGATTTGTGGCCTGATTCGCGTTTGCCCTGGTGTCCCAGTGGCGGAGGGGTTAGACAAGGGCCCACGGCTGGGCAAAACGTGTGCGGGAGCTGGGCACTTGGTGAATGCTGTGAGCCGGGCAGCAAATGCCAAGCTTCATGCCTGCACCGTGGCAGTGCCCAGCCTCCCACACGTGCCCGATGGCATGGCCGCGCCAGACTGTCTCCACCTAGCAAGCGCTCTCCGGCGGCTACAGAGTAAAAGCGAGCTGGTTCTCTGGGGGGTGG